ACAAACAAGCAAGATTTCTGGCTCTCATAGACCTTTAACTTCTTCTTTAAGAGGCTCCTCTGTCCTCCACTCGTTACCTGTATTAATGGCACCTGTTTGAACTTGTTATCAGTATAAAAGACACCTGTCCACAACCTCAAACAGTCACACTCCAAACACCACTATGGCCAAGACCAAAGAACTGTCAAAGGACACCAGAAACAAAATTGTAGACCTGCACCAGGCTGGGAAGACTGAATCTGCAATAGGTCAAATCAAATCAAATTTTATTGGTCACATGCGCCGAATACAACAGGTGCAGACATTACAGTGAAATGCTTACTTACAGCCCTTAACCAACAGTGCATTTCTTTTTAACAAAAAAAGTAAAAGTAAAACAACAACAAAAAAAGTGTTGAGAAAAAAAGAGCAGAAGTAAAATAAAATAACAGTAGGGAGGCTATATATATACAGGGGGGTACCGGTGCAGAGTCAATGTGCGGGGGCACCGGCTAGTTGAGATAGTTGAAGTAATATGTACATGTGGGTAGAGTTAAAGTGACTATGCATAAATAATTAACAGAGTAGCAGCAGCGTAAAAAGGATGGGGTGGGGGGGCAGTGCAAATAGTCCGGGTAGCCATGATTAGCTGTTCAGGAGTCTTATGGCTTGGGGGTAGAAGCTGTTGAGAAGTCTTTTGGACCTACACTTGGCACTCCGGTACCGCTTGCCATGCGGTAGCAGGGAGAACAGTCTATGACTAGGGTGGCTGGAGTCTTTGACAATTTTGAGGGCCTTCCTCTGACACCGCCTGGTATAGAGGTCCTGGATGGCAGGAAGCTTGGCCCCAGTGATGTACTGGGCCGTACGCACTACCCTCTGTAGTGTCTTGCGGTCGGAGGCCAAGCAGTTGCCATACCAGGCGGTGATGCAAGCAGTCAGGATGCTCTCGATTGGTGCAGCTGTATAATTTTTTGAGGATCTGAGGACCCATGCCAAATCTTTTCAGTCTCCTGAGGGGAGAATAGGCTTTGTCGTGCCCTCTTCACGACTGTCTTGGTGTGTTTGGACCATGATAGTTCGTTGGTGATGTGGACACCAAGGAACTTGAAGCTCTCAACCTGTTCCACTACTGTCCCGTCGATGAGAATGGGGGCGTGCTCAGTCCTCTTTTTTTTCCTGTAGTCCACAATCATCTCCTTTGTCTTGGTCACGTTGAGGGAGAGGTTGTTGTCCTGGCACCACACGGCCAGGTCTCTGACCTCCTCCCTATAGGCTGTCTCATCGTTGTCGGTGATCAGGCCTACCACTGTTGTGTCGTCGGCAAACTTAATGATGGTGTTGGAGTCGTTTCTGGCCATGCAGTCATGGGTGAACAGGGAGTACAGGAGGGGACTGAGCACGCACCCCTGAGGGGCCCCCATGTTGAGGATCAGTGTGGCAGATGTGTTGTTACCTACCCTTACCACCTGGGGGCGGCCCGTCAGGAAGTCCAGGATCCAGTTGCAGAGGGAGGTGTTTAGTCCCAGGATCCTTAGCTTAGTGATGAGCTTAGAGGGCACTATGGTGTTGAATGCTGAGCTGTAGTCAATGAATAGCATTCTCACGTAGGTGTTCCTCTTGTCCAGGTGGGAAAGGGCAGTGTGGAGTGCAATAGCGATTGCATCATCTGTGGATCTGTTGGGGCGGTATGCAAATTGGAGTGTGTCTAGGGTTTCTGGGATAATGCTGTTGATGTGAGTCATGACCAGCCTTTCAAAGCACTTCATGGCTACAGACGTCAGTGCTACGGGTTGGTAGTCATTTAGGCAGGAGTCCTTGGGCACAGGGACTATGGTGGTCTGCTTGAAACATGTTGGTATTACAGACTCAGTCAGGGACATGTTGAAAATGTCAGTGAAGACACTTGCCAGTTGGTCAGCACATGCTCGGAGTACACGTCCTGGTAATCCGTCTGGCCCTGCGGCCTTGTGAATGTTGACCTGCTTAAAAGTCTTACTCACATCGGCTACGGAGAGCGTGATCACATAGTCATCCGGAACAGCTGGTGCTCTCATGCATGCTTCAGTGTTGCTTGCCTCGAAGCGAGCATAGAAGTGGTTTAGCTCGTCTGGTAGGCTTGTGTCACTGGGCAGCTCGCGGCTGTGCTTCCCTTTGTAGTCTGTAATAGTTTTCAAGCCCTGCCACATCCGACGAGCGTCAGAGCCAGTGTAGTACGATTCAATCTTAGCCCTGTATTGACTCTTTGCCTGTTTGATGGTTCGTCAGAGGGCATAGCGGGATTTCTTATAAGCGTCCGGGTTAGAGTCCCGTTCCTTGAAAGCGGCAGCTCTACCCTTTAGCTCAGTGCGGATGTTTCCTGTAGTCCATGGCTTCTGTTTGGGGTATGTACGTACGGTCACTGTGGGGACGACATCATCGATGCACTTATTGATGAAGCCAGTGACTGATGTGGTGTACTCCTCAATGCTGTCTGAAGAATCCCGGAACATGTTCCAGTCTGTGCTAGCAAAACAGTCCTGTAGTTTAGCATCTGCGTCATCTGACCACTTTTTTATTAACCGAGTCACTGGTGCTTCCTGCTTTAGTTTTTGCTTATAAGCAGGAATCAGGAGGATAGAGTTATGGTCAAATTTGCCAAATGGAGGGCGAGGGAGAGCTTTGTATGCGTCTCTGTGTGTGGAGTAAAGGTGGTCTAGAGTTTTTTTTTCCTCTGGTTGCACATTTAACATGCTGGTAGAAATTAGGTAGAACGGATTTAAGTTTCCCTGCATTAAAGTCCCCGGCCACTAGGAGCGCTGCATCTGGATGAGCGTTTTCCTGTTGATTTATGGCCTTGTACAACTCATTCAGTGCAATCTTAATGCCAGCATTGGTTTGTGGTGGTAAATAGACAGCTATGAAAAATATAGATGAAAACTATCTTGGTAAATAGTGTGGTCTACAGCTTATCATAAGATACTCTACCTCAGGCGAGCAAAACCTTGAGACTTCCTTAGTATTTGATTTTGTGCACCAGCTGTTGTTTACAAATATACACAGACCGCCACCCCTTGTCTTACCGGAGTCAGCCGTTCTATCCTGCCGATGTAGCGTATAGCCCGCTAGCTGTATGTTATCATTGTCGTCGTTGAGCCACGACTCGGTGAAACATAAGATATTACAGTTTTTAATGTCCCGTTGGTAGGATAACCGTAATCTTAGGTCATCCAATTTGTTATCCAATGATTGAAGATTGGCTAATAGGATTGATGGAAGAGGCAGTTTACTCGCTCGCCGTCGGATCCTTACAAGGCACCCCGATCTACGTCCACGATATCTTCGTCTCTTCCTCACGCGAATGACGGGGGTTTGGGCCTTGTCGGGTGTCTGTATGATATCTTTCGCGGCCGCCTCGTTGAAGAAAAAATCTTCGTCCAATAGGACGTGAGTAATCGCTGTCCTGATATCCAGAAGCTCTTTTTGGTTATAAGAGACGATGGCAGAAACATTATGTACAAAATAAATGACAAATAACGCGGAAAAACACACATAATAGTACAAATAGTTAGAGGGCTGTAAAACGGCAGCCATCTTCTCCGGAGCTGTGATAAAAAAAGGAGCAGCTTGGTTTGAAGAAATCAACTGTGGGAGCAATTATTAGGAAATGGAAGACATACAAGACCAATGATAATCTCCCTCGATCTGGGGCTCCACGCAATATCTCACCCCGTGGGGTCAAAATGATCACAAGAACGGTGAGCAAAAATCCCAGAACCACACGGGCGGACCTAGTGAATGACCTGCAGAGAGCTGGGACCAAAGTAACAAAGCCTACCATCAGTAACACACTACGCCACCAGGGACTCAAATCCTGCGGTGCCAGACGTGTCCCCCTGCTTAAGCCAGTACATGTCCAGGCCCGTCTGAAGTTTGCTAGAGTGCATTTGGATGATCCAGAAGAGGATTGGGAGAATGTCATATGGTCAGATGAAACCAAAATAGAACTTTTTGGTAAAAACTCAACTCGTCGTGTTTGGAGGACAAAGAATGCTGAGTTGCATCCAAAGAACACCATATCTACTGTGAAGCATGGGGGTGGAAACATCATGCTTTGGGGCTGTTTTTCTGCAAAGGGACCAGGACGACTGATCCGTGTAAAGGAAAGAATGAATGGGGCCATGTATCGTGAGATTTTGAGTGAAAACCTCCTTCCATCAGCAAAGGCATTGAAGATGAAACGTGGCTGGGTCTTTCAGCATGACAATGATCCCAAACACACCGCCCGGGCAACGAAGGAGTGGCTTCGTAAGACGCATTTCAAGGTCCTGGAGTGGCCTAGCCAGTCTCCAGATCTGAACCCCATAGAAAATCTTTGGAGGGAGTTGAAAGTCCGTGTTGCCCAGTGACAGCCCCAAAACATCACTGCTCTAGTGGAGATCTGCATGGAGGAATGGGCCAAAATACCAGCAACAGTGTGTGAAAACCTTGTGAAGACTTACAGAAAACTTTTGACCTGTGTCATTGCCAACAAAGGGTATATAACAAAATATTGAGAAACTTTTGTTATTGACCAAATACTTATTTTCCACTATAATTTGCAAATAAATTCATTAAAAATCCTACAATGTGATTTTCTGGATTTTTTTTTCTCATTTTGTCTGTCATAGTTGACGTGTACCTATGAGGAAAATTACAGGCCTCTCTCATCTTTTTAAGTGGGAGAACTTGCACAATTGGTGGCTGACTAAATACTTTTTTCCCCCACTGTAAGTCAAGGAATCTGGTGTGGACTGTAGTATTGGTTAGAAAAACTTGGGTAAACACAGAATGCCTTTCGAGATAATGCTGGTGGGTAACACAAATGCTAACAATGTCAGTTTAGTGTTTTAGGTGTGCAAATGTTGTTCACCAAAGCAAATAAGGTGTGTTAACAGCATTTATTAACGCTCCACTACATCCCTGGTCCTAACCCACTATTTGGGAAACAATGCTCTGACCTCATCAGCCTTCATGTTGTCGGATGTCTTTGGGCTTTGTAGGAGGCGGAGGAAAGGGCAGAAGCTGCCATTGACCCAGGGGGAGATACCATCACCGGCAACCCACCCACCAGTCAACATGTAGACGAAGAGGGAGGCGGGCAGATGCCAGGCAATGAGGTTGAAGGAGATGATCCGCCAGTCAATGAGCTGGAGCCAGGAGAGGAGATAAGTGAGCTTAGGCGGAGCTTGCAGGCATCTGGGGGTGTGTCCCAGGATGAGGTGGGGGAGGAGCCAAGGGCAGCGGGGGATGCAGGATCTGTGGATTCAGATGTAGTTGCCACGGAGACAGATGGAGAGGACGGTATGTAACTACCACCTTTAAAATATATATTTTTTTACGGTCTGATGTATACCTGGTATTTACTTCTAAATTACATTCTGAAATGATAATCACATTTTAATTCCCTTGAAATTACTATTTTACTTCCTTGGGATTCATTAAAACATCCACATACTCCCCTACCTGGAACAATCATTAATATAATTCCCTCATTCATCCAGTTATGTAGCAACTAATAGTGAATTACAATAAAACTATAAAAAGGCTCATGTGTTCTTCTTTTACTGATTATTGTGTATGCTCAGGTGCTCAAGTGAACGGTCACCCCGTGCACTCGCTCCCCACAGTGCGCCATGACATCCACCGATACCAACGAGTGGACGAACCCTTACCTCCTAGTAAGTGTCCTCCTGTACATACTACATCTGTTTTGTATTTGAGGTGAAGGAAGATGACAAAAGAGAGAGAAAGAAAGCTGCTTGATATACACTGCTCAAAAAAATAAAGTGAACACTTAAACAACACAATGTAACTCCAAGTCAATCACACTTCTGTGAAATCAAACTGTCCACTTAGGAAGCAACACTGATTGACAATACATTTCACATGCTGTTGTGCAAATGGAATAGACAACAGGTGGAAATTATAGGCAATTAGCAAAACACCCCCAATAAAGGACTGGTTTTGCAGGTGGTGACCACAGACCACTTCTCAGTTCCTATGCTTCCTGGCTGATGTTTTGGTCACTTTTGAATGCTGGTGGTGCTTTCACTCTAGTGGTAGCATGAGACGGAGTCTACAACCCACACAAGTGGCTCAGGTAGTGCATATCATCCAGGATGGCACATCAATGCAAGAAGGTTTGCTGTGTCTGTCAGCGTAGTGTCCAGAGCATGGAGGCGCTACCAGGAGACAGGCCAGTACATCAGGAGACGTGGAGGAGGCCGTAGGAGGGCAACAACCCAGCAGCAGGATTGCTACCTCCGCCTTTGTGCAAGGAGGAGCTGGAGGAGCACTGCCAGAGCCCTGCAAAATGACCTCCAGCAGGCCACAAATGTGCATGTGTCTGCTCAAACGGTCAGAAACAGACTCCATGAGGGTGGTATGAGGGCCCGACGTCCACAGGTGGGGGTTGTGCTTACAGCCCAACACCGTGCAGGACGTTTGGCATTTGCCAGAGAACACCAAGATTGGCAAATTCGCCACTGGCGCCCTGTGCTCTTCACAGATGAAAGCAGGTTCACACTGAGCACATGTGACAGACATGACAGAGTCTGGAGACGCCGTGGAGAACGTTCTGCTGCCTGCAACATCCTCCAGCATGACCGGTTTGGCGGTGGGTCAGTCATGGTGTGGGGTGGCATTTCTTTGGGGGGGCGCACAGTCCTCCATGTGCTCGCCAAAGGTAGCCTGACTGCCATTAGGTACCGAGATGACATCCTCAGACCCCTTGTGAGACCATATGCTGGTGCGGTTGGCCCTGGGTTCCTCCTAATGCAAGACAATGCTAGACCTCATGTGGCTGGAGTGTGTCAGCAGTTCCTGCAAGAGGAAGGCATTGATGCTATGGACCGCCCATTCCCCAGACCTGAATCCAATTGAGCACATCTGGGACATCATGTCTCGCTCCATCCACCAACGCCACGTTGCACCACAGACTGTCCAGGAGTTGGCGGATGCTTTAGTCCAGGTCTGGGAGGAGATCCCTCAGGAGACCATCCGCCACCTCATCAGGAGCATGCCCAGGCGTTGTAGGGAGGTCATACAGGCACGTGGAGGCCACACACACTACTGAGCCTCATTTTGACTTGTTTTAAGGACATTACATCAAAGTTGGATCAGCCTGTAGTGGGGTTTTCCACTTTAATTTTGAGGGTGACTCCAAATCCAGACCTCCATGGTTTGATACATTTGATTTCCATTGATAATTTTTGTGTGATTTTGTTGTCAGCACATTCAACTATGTAAAGAAAAAAGTATTTAATAAGATTATTGAATTCATTCAGATCTAGGATGTGTTATTTTAGTGTTCCCTTTATTTTTTTGAGCAGTGTAGTATGTGTATTTGTCTCGATATAGTTTTTTTTTGTATCTGTGCCATATATGCTTCTGTGACAACATTTGCAATAAGTGTTAAATAAAAAAGTTGTCAATTTCTTCTTCTACGGTAAACAGAAAGTGTGCATACTGCCACCTGGAGTGTGTTGTCTGAACAGGTATAAAGCCAAGATTTGTGATTTACTGCCGCCTGCAGTTATAAAATGTTTGCTCAGGAGTATAATTAATTGGCTGATCTCTCCTTATGACCTGGATGGAATTATGTGATCTTTCCATAACCCATACAGTAGGAACTCCCACCGAGTTCACTACTTCAAAATGGTGGAAGTCCTCAATGGCGCTGCCCATGCTAAAACACACTTTGGGGCACTAGAGCTGTCTATCTTAGTCTATGATTTGGCCCACGTTTCTAAGTGCTATGTACACAATGTTATACTATTTGACATAATGTGTGTTTATGTTATTTCAAGATGCCATGGTTGGATGTCAGAATTCATCCGTACATGTCAACCATGTGTGAATTCAGTTTGACTGCGACTGTGGGTGCATCCCAAATGGCACCCTATTCCCTATGGGCCCTTGTTAAAAGTAATGCACTAAAAAGGAAATGGGGTGCCATTTGGGACGTGGGCTGTGTCTTAAATGTAAAGTGTGTGTTTGCAAATGTACAGCGACGTGTTTGTTCTCCTTACAGATTGGGAGGCGAGGATCGATAGTCACGGTCGTATTTTCTTTGTGGATCATGTGAATCGGACCACCACGTGGCAGCGCCCCACCGGACCCCCCGCCCCCCAGGGCCTGACCCGCTCCAACTCCATTCAACAGATGGAGCAGCTCAACCGCAGGTCTGTGTCATGTAGAGAGATACACAGGCAAAAACACATATGTACACACACACACATAGACATACGCTCATAAACATATACACTCACACACTCGCACACATACAGTATATGTACGTACATATACACACATACAAACACACCCTCTCTCTCACACACATACAGTGCCTTGCAAAAGTATTCAGCCCCCTTGGTGTTTTTCCTATTTTGTTGCATTACAACCTGTAATTTAAATTGAATTTTATTTGGATTTCATGTAATGGACATAAACAAAATAGTCCAAATTGGTGAAATGAAATGAAAAAAATAACTTGTTTAAAAAAATTCTAAAAAATTAATAACGAAAAAGTGGTGCGTGCATATATATTCACCCCTTTGCTGTGAAGACCCTAAATAAGATCTGGTGCAACCAATTACCTTCAGAAGTCACATAATTAGTTAAATAAAGTCCACCTGTGTGCAATCTAAGTGTCACATGATCTGTCACATGATCTCAGTGTATATACACCTGTTCTGAAAGGCCCCAGAGTCTGCAACACCACTAAGCAAGGGGCACCACCAAGCAAGCGGCACCATGAAGACCAAGGAGCTCTCCAAACAGGTCAGGGACAAAGTTGTGGAGAAGTACAGATCAGGGTTGGGTTATATTTAAATCCATTATAAAAAAAGGAAAGAATATGGCCTACCAAAACTCACGGACCAGGCAAGGAGGGCATTAATCAGAGAGGCAACAAAGATACCAAAGATAACCCTGAAGGAGCTGCAAAGCTCCACAGCGGAGAATGGAGTATCTGTCCATAGGACCACTTTATGCCGTACACTCCACAGAGCTGGGCTTTACGGAAGAGTGGCCAGAAAAAAGCCATTGCTTAAAGAAAAAAATAAGCAAACACGTTTGGTGTTCGCCAAAAGGCATGTGGGAGTACTCCCCAAACATATGGAAGAAGGTACTCTGTTCAGATGAGACTAAAATTGAGCTTTTTGGCCATCAAGGAAAACGCTATGTCTGGCGCAAACCCAACACCTCTCATCACCCCGAAAACACCATCCAAGCATTGTGGTGGCAGCATCCTGCTGTGGGGATGTTTTTCATCAGCAGGGACTGGGAAACTGGTCAGAATTGAAGGAATGATGGATGGCGCTACATACAGGGAAATTCTTGAGGGAAACCTGTTTCAGTCTTCCAGAGATTTGAGACTGGGACGGAGGTTCACCTTCCAGCAGGACAATGACTCTAAGCATACTGTTAAAGCAACACTCGAGTGGTTTTAAGGGGAAACATTTAAATATCTTGGAATGGCCTAGTCAAAGCCCAGACCTTAATCCAATTGTGGTATGACTTAAAGATTGCTGTACACCAGCGGAACCCATCCAACTTGAAGGAGCTGGAGCAGTTTTGCCTTGAAGAATGTTCAAAAAATCCCAGTGGCTAGATGTGCCAATTTTATAGAGACATACCCCAAGAGACTCGCAGCTGTAATTGCTGCAAAAGGTGGCTCTACAAAGTATTGAATTTGGGGGGGGTGAATAGTTATGCACGCTCAAGTTGTCTGTTTTTTTGTCTTGTTTCTTGTTTGTTTCACACACAAAAAAGATTTTGTATCTTCAAAGTGGTAGGCATGTTGTGTAAATCAAATGATATAAACCCCCAAAAAATCCATTTTAATTCCAGGTTGTAAGGCAACAAAATCTGAAAAATACCAAGGGGGGTGAATACTTTCGCAAGCCACTGTACGCTCACACACACACTCACATGCACACATACTTTTGTAACTTCAGTCCTCTGCATTTCCTCTTCTCACCGTAACCCTTCACACCCCTTCCTCTCTCTTTTTCTCTCTCTCTCTCTATCTATCTCTCGATCAGGTATCAGAGCATAAGGAGGACGATGACCAGTGAGAGGTCCGAGGAGAACACAGTTGACCTCCCGCCAGAGCCCACAGAGAGTGACCTTCTGCCCCAGACCATCCCTGGTGTGCTAGTATAGTCACACACACACACACACACACACACACACACACACACACACACACACACACACACACACACACACACACACACACACACACACACACACACACACACACACACACACACACACACACACACACACACACACACACACACACACACACACAGGGCTCTAAAGTACATATCTCCTGAGTGGCGCAGTGGTCTAAGGCACTGCATCGCAGTGCTAACTGTGCCACTAGATCCTGGTTCGAATCCAGGCTCTGTCGCAGCCGGCCGCGACCGGGAGACTCATGGGCGGCGCACAATTGGCCCAGCGTCGTCCAGGGTAGGGGAGGGAATGGCCGGCAGGGATGTAGCTCAGTTGATAGAGCATGGCGTTTGCAACGCCAGGGTTGTGGGTTCGTTTCCCACGGGGGGCCAGTATTTAAAAAAATATGTATTCACATAAGCTCTGGATAAGCGCGTCTGCTAAATGACTAAAATGTAAATGTAAATGTAAAGTGCGACCAGTTTGGTCGCAGATGCAACAAAATATTTTGCTGTGCGATCTGGAGTTTTAATTTGGGAGCGTCATGTTTGCAATATTACTACAGCGAAAACTGCTTGTTTCTAGCCGAAACACAACTTCTTTTTCTTCCTGTCACGGATTGGGGGGGCGCATTTTACATTCATAAACCATGTCGCGGGCAGTTCTAAAACATCTTGCGGTCCGCATTTGTTTTACACCTTGTTTGTTCATGTAGCTAGCTAGCTAACAACCTGGTAACTTTACCAGTATATCCAAACATTTGGGGGCACAAAAAATAAAAAAAAAGGGGGATAGCTTCTTCAGGAGATCAATAATCATAGTAATGAATGAATGACATATCTTGCATGTCGTCATCAAAAACGTAACGCTCTTAATAGAACTGCTGGACCTCGAGGGACCCCCCTTTAAGCTAATGAGTGACTATGAGGTTAAAGTAGTGCAGACTGTCAGCTTTAATTTGAGGGTATTGTCATCCATATCGGGTGAACCGTTTAGAAATTACAGCACTGTTTGTACATAGTCCCCCCATTTTAGGGGACCAAAAGTATTGGGACAAATTCACTTTTGTGTATTAAAGTAGTCAAAACTTTAGTATTTGGTCCCATATTCCTAGCACGCAACGATTACATCAAGCTTGTGACTCTACAAACTTGTTGGATGCATTTGCTGTTTGTTTTGGATGTGTTTCAGATCATTTTCTGTCCAATAGAAATGAATGGTAAATAATGTGTTGTCATTTTGAAGTCACTTTTATTGAAAATAAGAATTAATGTGGATTCCACCATGATTACGGATAGTCCTGAATTAATCATCAATAATGATTGAGAAAGTTACAGATGTACAAATATCATACCCCCCAAAAGATGCTAACCTTCCCTGTTATTATAATGGTGAGAGGTTAGCATGTCTTGGGGGGTATGATATTTGTGCTTCTGCAACTTTCTCACATTTATTTAACCTGTTGTTATATGTGTGAAATCAGTTTCGGTGTAGTTTAGGTTCAACTGGGCATGGCACTTTCAACTGTCAGGGGAAGGAGGGGAGCAGGACCTACTGTCGGAAGAAGGCGGGGCAAGGGGGGAAAACCATTCAAAAAACAACGTGCCCTCCTAAAACTGGTTATAACTCCAGTTAAGTTTGTGATATTAAGATTCTAACAAGTGTGTTATATAGACTTATTTAGGAAAAGTCAAGGATGGAGGAGGGCATGAGTTTTAAAATGGCAGAGTAATACTTTAAACAAAAATCATGAGCAGTCCAAATGACTGCTTCAGCGGTTCTAGTGTAAAAGGGATAGTTCAGCCAAATTACATATTGGTTTCCTTACCCTGCAAGCAGTCTATGGACAAAGTGCCTGGGAAACTAAAACAAAGCATATATTGCTGTCATACCTTGTCCATTGACTGATTACAGGGTAAGGAAACAAGTGTCATTTTGTAATTTGGGTTACTATCCCTTTAAAGAGAGTGTACAATTTTCAATGTAATACATCTCAATAGGAAAATAGCGCTTTTACATAATGTAAACATATATTCTACAAAATACTTTTTAATTTCATTGACAGGTATTTGTATAAAAATAAATAAAAAATAAATAAAACATTTTAGCTTTTTATAATAAACATGTATTTACAGGGTTACATATTCATTTCTAGGGCACAACATGTGCTTCAGACTTAGCTAGAATTCATATTGGCTATATCTCAATCAATTTATTTGTATTTTTATTCAAAGCACTAGCACACACACACACAAACATACACCCACACACACACACACACACAGTCTTGTATAACTAACCTTGTGGGGGCACACATTTCAGTCCCATTCAAAATCCTATTTTCCCTAACACTAACCTTAACCCCAAAATGTCCCCAGTTGGTCAAATACTTTTTCATCTACCATTCTACACACACACATCCTTCCCAACATCTATTCTACTCTTACAGTGTGTGTTTTGTCTGTCGTAGAGTACAGGAGAGAGAGTGCGGTGGGTCACTCCAGCTCCCGGTCTCGTCTCTCTCTGCTGCTCCAGTCCCCCAGCGCAAAGTTCCTGTGCAGCCCAGACTTCTTCACCGTGCTGCATTCTAACCCTGTGAGTCTGGCTGCACAGGCCCTCAACCCTCACCTTCTTATGGTCACCTTTGATCCCTCAGCTCTCACTTATCACGTCATATCTCTCAGTAGTTAACGATTTGCAAAAGTGTGCTTACCACTTTTTGGAATTAAATGCTGTTTTCAAATTGACATGAAATGTGGCCTTCATCAGGTTAATTGAAATAGAACTATGAGGTATGGTATCTGGGATTTAATTTCCCATTATGAGTCATCATTCTTCTCTTAATCTGTGTTTTATCAAAATAATGACAACCCCATTTACAGAAGAGCCCGGCATTTCACATGTCCCTCTTTGATGACCTCATCAGTCTGTTCCCTCCTTCCCTCCCTCCCTCCCTCAGAGTGCCTACCGCATGTTTACGAGCAACACTTGCCTGAAGCACATGATCAGTAAGGTGCGTCGGGACGCCCACCACTATGAGCGCTACCAGCACAACAGGGACCTGGTGGCCTTTCTCAACATGTTCACCAACAAACAGCTGGAGCTACCCAGGGGCTGGGAGATGAAGCACGACCAGTCCGGCAAGGTCTGGACCACAGTGTGTGTGTAGGGTGTGTGTGTGTGTGTGTGGGAATGTTTTAGTTTATGTGCAATGACACGTGAATATACAGTGCATTTGGAAAGTATTCAGACCCCTTGACTTTTTCCACATTTTGTTATGTCACAGCCTTATTCTAAAATGGATTACATTTTAAAAAATCCTCATCAATCTACACACAATACCCCATAATGACGAAGCAAAAACTGGTTTTTAGATTTTTTTGCAAATTTATAAAAAATAAAAAACAGAAATACCTTATTTACATAAGTATTCAGACCCTTTGCTATGAGACTCGAAATTGAGCTCAGGTGCATCCTGTTTCCATTGATCCTCCTTGAGATGTTTCTACAACTTGATTGGAGTCTGCCTGTGGTAAATTCAATTGATTGGACATGATTTGGAAAGGCAAACACTTGTCTATATAAGGTCCCACAGTTGACAGTGCATGTCAGAGCAAAAACCCAGCCAAGTCGAAGGAATTGTCTGTAGAGCGAGACAGGATTGTGTTGAGGTTCAGATCTGGGGAAGGGTACCAAAACAGTTCTGCAGCATTGAAAGTCCCAAAGAACACAGTGGCCTCCATCATTTTTAAATGGAAGAAGTTTGGAACCACCATGACTCTTCCTAGAGCTGGCCGCCCGGCCAAACTGAGCATTCGAGGGAGAAGGGCCTTGGTCAAAGTTCCTCTGTGGAGATAGGAGAACCTTCCAGAAAGACAACCATCTCTGCAGCACTCCACCAATCAGGCTTTTATGGTAGTGGCCAGATGGAAGCCACACCTCAGTAAAAGGCACATGACAGCTGTAAGGCTGTAACGTAACAAAATGTGGAAAAAGTCAATTGGTCTGAATACTTTCTGCATATACTGTAGTTTCTTTATCTATCTTACTGTACGTGGCTGGCTGTGTGTCTTCACAGCCCTTCTTTGTGGATCACAACTGTCGCTCCACAACCTTCATCGACCCGCGGCTCCCCCTCCAGAGTGCACGCTCCACTGGCCTGCTGGCCCACCGCCAGCACCTCAGCCGCCAACGCAGCCACAGCGCAGGCGAGGTGAGAGACTACTGCTGCATTCACACAGGCCACTTGACAGACCGGACTGCATGACGGCATGCTAACTAGTGGACTACCCTACATGTGGCTTGGCGGTTTGCCTGGCTCGGTTGAATTCATATAGCTGGTTTGAAGAACATGCCAACTAACATCCAAAATAGAAAATACCGCTGCAGTGGATGATGTCCGTCGGCCTCATCAGAATTTGCCATCATTGTCTCGATGAAAATATTACATCTGGTTTCATATTGCCGTAATAAGTTGCCTATGTGAACGCAGCAAACTGCTGTACTACTGCACCACTAATGCAGGCTTGAGATCAGCTCTAAATCTAGTCTATTACACCCACTGCACCACTGACACACTGGAATTCTGACCTGTGATCATCACTAAGACTTTAGATTTAGCTGTTTTAACAAGACCAATATCAATGACTTAGCAATGACCCAAGCCCAGCTCAGCTAATCCCTACCATTGTGACGCAGAGTTGTCAAAATGCTTTAGCAAATGTACATTACACCAGCGGCCTCGGTAGACACAATGTGGGTAACCTGGTTTGTGTCCCTCTAGCTGCCCTGGGTGCCTCTGCTGACCCTGCAGCTGTTGTGTGCAGTGATCATGTGCCTAGGAACCAGATTTATACTGTTAGCACTGAGCCGGTGTGCCCAAGGAGGCAGTCCACTGTGTGCAGCTCACCCAGCACTAAAATAAAGAACATGAGCACATCTACTGCTGCTAAGCTTCCCAATAAAGCTATAAAAACAAATAAGCATCCCAGAAGAAAAGTGCTCAAAATAGCCCACGTTAACATATGTAGCTCAAGAAACAAGGTTAATGAAAACAATAATTTGCTAGTAACAGATGACATTCATATTCTGACTATCTCTGAAACTCACTTAGATAATACCTTTGATGATACAGTGGTAGCAATACAAAGTTATAACATTTACAGAAAATATAGAAATACCAATGGTGGAGGTGTTGCTGTTTATATTCAGAACCACATTCCTGTGAAGATTAGAGAGGATCTCATGTTAAATACTGTTGAAGTTATATGGCTACAGGTTAATCTGCCTCACCTAAAGCCAAGTGCTAACAGTCAGTATCTGGATAACGTGTGAAATGCTTGATAATTTGTAAGTCGCTCTGGATAAGAGCGTCTGCTAAATGACTTAAATGTAAATGTAAAAATAATGTATGTGATATCAATAGAGAGGTATACTTTCTGTGTGATTTAAATATTGACTGGCTTTCATCAGGCTGCCCACTCAAGAGAGCTTCAAACTGTAACCAGTGCCTGCAACCTGGTTCAGGTTATCAGTCAACCTACCAGGGTGGTTACAAACAGTACAGGAATGAAATCATTAACATGTATTGATCATATCTTTACTAATGCTGCAGAGATTTGTTTGAAAGCAGTATCCAAATCCATTCGATGTAGTGATCACAATATAGTAGCCATATCTGGGAAAACCAAAGTTACAAAGGCTGGGCCTAATATTGTGTATAAGAGGTCATAAAATACGTTTTATAGTGATTCCTATGTTGTTGATGTAAAGAATATATGTTGGTCCGTGGTGTGTAATGAGGCGCAAACAGACACTTTACACATTTATAAAATTGCTTATTCCAGTTACTAATAAGCATGCACCCATTAAGAAAATGACTGTAAAAACTGTTACAGCCCTGTGGATTGATGAGGAATTGAAAAGTTGTATGGTTAAGAGGGATGAGGCAAAAGGAATGGCAAATAAGTCTGGCTGCACAACCAATTGGCAAACGCATTGCAAATTGAGAAATCATGTGACTAAACTGAATAAAAAGAAGAACAACACTATGAAACAAGGATAAATGACATAAAGAATGATAGTAAAAAGCTTTGGAGCACCTTAAATGAAATTTTGGGGAAAAAGGCAAACTCAGCTCCATCATTCATTGAATCAGATGGCTCATTCATCACAAAACCAACTGAAATTGCCAACTACTTTAATATTTTTTTATTTGGCAAGATTAGCAAACATAGGCATGACATGCCAGCAACAATTGCTGACACTACACATCCAAGTATATCTGACCAAATTATGAAAGACATGCATTGTAATTTTGAATTCCATAAAGTGAGTGTGGAAGAGATGAAAAATTGATTGTTGTCAATTAACAATGACAAGCCACCGGGGTCTGACAACTTAGATGGAAAATTGCTGAGGATAATAACGGACGATATTGCCACTCCTGTTTGCCATATTTTCAATTTAAGCCTACTAGAATGTACAGTGAGGGAAAAAAGTATTTGATCCCCTGCTGATTTTGTACGTTTGCCCACTGACAAAGAAATGATTACTCTATAATTTTAATGGTAGGTTTATTTGAACAGTGAGAGACAGAATAACAACAAAATAATCCAGAATAACGCATGTCAAAAATGTTATAAATTGATTTGCATTTTAATGAGGGAAATAAGTATTTGACCCCCTCTCAATCAGAAAGATTTCTGGCTCCCAGGTGTCTTTTATACAGGTAACGAGCTGAGATTATGAGCACACTCTTAAAGGGAGTGCTCCTAATCTCAGTTTGTTACCTGTATAAAAGACACCTGTCCACAGAAGCAATCAATCAATCAGATTCCAAACTCTCCACCATGGCCAAGACCAAAGAGCTCTCCAAGGATGTCAGGGACAAGATTGTAGACCTACACAAGGCTGGAATGGGCTACAAGACCATCGCCAAGCAGCTTGGCGAGAAGGTGACAACAGTTGGTGCGATTATTTGCAAATGGAAGGAACACAAAATAACTGTCTATCTCCCTCGGCATGGGGCTCCATGCAATATCTCACCTCGTGGAGTTGTAATGATCATGAGAACAGTGAGGAATCAGCCCAGAACTACACAGGAGGATCTTGTCAATGATCTCAAGGCAGCTGGGACCATAGTCACCAAGAAAACAATTGGTAACACACTACACTGTGAAGGACTGAAATCCTGCAGCGCCCGCAAGGTCCCCCTGCTCAAGAAAGCACATATACAGGCCCGTCTGAAGTTTGCCAATGAACATCTGAATGATTCAGAGGAGAGCTGGGTGAAAGTGTTGTGGTCAGATGCGACCAAAATCTCACCGTGTTTGGAGGAGGAGTAATGCTGCCTATGACCCCAAGAACACCATCCCCACCGTCAAACATGGAGGTGGAAACATTATGCTTTGGGGGTGTTTTTCTGCTAAGGGGACAGGACAACTTCACCGCATCAAAGGGACGATGGACAGGGCCATGTACCGTCAAATCTTGGGTGTGAACCTCCTTCCCTCAGCCAGGGCATTGAAAATGGGTCTTGGATGAGTATTCCAGCATGACAATGACCCAAAACACACGGCCAAGGCAACAAAGGAGTGGCTCAAGAAGAAGCACATTAAGGTCCTGGAGTGGCCTAGCCAGTCTCCAGACCTTAATCCCATAGAAAATCTGTGGAGGGAGCTGAAGGTTCGAGTTGCCAAACGTCAGCCTCGAAACCTTAATGACTTGGAGAAGATCTGCAAAGAGGAGTGGGACAAAATCCCTCCTGTGATGTGTGCAAACCTGGTGGCCAACTAGAAGAAACGTCTGACCTCTGTGATTGCCAACTAGGGTTTTGCCACCAAGTACTAAGTCATGTTTTGCAGAGGGGTCAAATACTTATTTCCCTCATTAAAATGCAAATCAATTTATAAAATTTTTGACATGCGTTTTTCTGGATTTTTTTGTTGTTATTCTGTCTCTCACTGTTCAAATAAACCTACCATTAAAATTATAGACTGATCATTTCTTTGTCAGTGGGCAAACGTACAAAATCAGCAGGGGATCAAATACTTTTTTCCCTCACTGTATGTGCCCCCAGGTTTGGAGGGAAGCAAAAGTCATTCCGCTACCTAAGAATGCCCCTTTACTGGCTCAAATAGCCGACCAATATACTAAATACCAACCCTTAGTAAACTATTGGAAAAAATGGTGTTTGACCAGATACAATGCTATTTTACTGTAAACAAATTGCCAACAAACTTTCAGCATGCTTATAGAGAAGGACATTCAACAAGCACAGCACTTACACAAATTACTGATGATTGGCTGAGAGAAATTGATAATAAAAATATTATGGGGGCTGTTTTGTCAGACTTCTGTGTGGCTATTGACATTATCAATCATAGTCTGCTGCTGGAAAAACGTATGTGTTATGGCTTTACACCCCCTGCTATAATGTGGATAAAGAGTTACTTGTCTAACAGAATACAGAGGGTGTTCTTTAATGGAAGCCTCTCCAACATAATCCAGGTAGAATCAGGAATTCCCCAGGGCAGCTGTCTAGGCCCCTTGCTTTTTTCCATCTTTACTAACGACATGCCACTGGCTTTGAGTAAAGCTGGTGTGTCTATGTATGCGGATGTCTCAACACTATACACGTCAGCTACTACAGCAACTGAAATAACTGCCACGCTAACAAAGACTTGCAGTTAGTTTCGGAATGGGTGGCAAGGAATAAGTTAGTCCTGAATATTTCTAAAAGCACTGTATTTGGGTCAAATCATTCACTAAACCCTAAACCTCAACTACATCTTGTAATGAATAATGTGGAAATTGAGCAAGTTGAGGAGACTAAACTGCATGGAGTAACCCTGGATTGTAGACTGTCATGGTCAAAGCATATTGATACAACAGTAGCTAAGATGGGGGAGAAGTATGTCCATACTTAAGCGCTGCTCTGCCTTTTTAGAAACACTATCAAAAAGGCAGGTTCTACAGGCCCTAGTTTTGTCGCACCTAGACTACTGTTCAGTAGTGTGGTCAGGTGCCACAAAGAGGGACTTGGGAAAATTGCAGTTGGCTCAGAACAGGGCAGCACAGCTGGCCCTTAAAAGTACACGGAGAGCTAACATTAATGACATGCATGTCAGTCTCTCCTGGCTCAGAGTGGAAGAGAGAGAGACTTCATCACTGCTTGTTTTTGTAAGAGGTGTTGACAAGCTGAATGTATCAAGCTGTCTGTTTAAACTACTATCACACAGCTCGGAAACCCATGCATACCCCACAAGACATGCCACCAGAGGTCTCTTCACAGTCCCCAAGTCCAGAACTATGGGAGGCGCACAGTACTACATAGAGCCATGACTACATGGAACTTTATTCCACCTTATGGAACAACGGGGACTGTGAAGAGACACACACACAAGGGTATAGACACATGCATACGCACACATTGTGATATTGTTGTATGGTGGTATTCAACATTTTGTATTGTAGATGGGTAGTGGTGTAATAATGTCATATGATGTACTGTTTTATATTTTGTTTTATATGTAATGTAAGTGCTTTAATATGTTTCGACCCCAGGAAGAGTAGCTGCTGCCTTGGCAGCAGCTAATGGGGATCCCTAATAAATACAAATATAAATCATAATGCTTATAGCAAGAAAAAGATTGAAAGGGTTCCTAAAATGGGTGTAGGTTGTACAGTTTTCAATAGAAACAATGACAATGCTGGGTTTATGGCTGGGAGTTCCCTGATTGTGTCAATTGATAGCAGCAGTGGGATCCGTACTGACTCAGTGTCCCCTTGCAGGTGGTAGATAACACACGACACTCCAGCCCACCTGTCATGCCCCGCCCCTCCAGCACCTTCAGTGGGTCCACTCGCAATCAATACCAGGACCTGGTGCCTGTGGGTGAGTACACACACACACACGCACGTACGCACGCCAGTTAGCCTAGCAGTTAGTGTTGGGCCAGTAACCGAAAGGTTGCTAGTTCAACTCCTTGTGCAGACAAGGTGAAAATTCTGTCCATCTGCCCTTGAGCAAGGCACTTAACCGTAATTGCTCCACTTAAAGCTACTATATGTAGCTTTTTGGGTCAACCCGACCAAATTCACATAGAAACGTGAGTTCTAGATCTTTCATTCCCATTGAAAGCAAGTCTAAGAAGCGGTAGATCTGTTCTATGTGTGCTATTTCTATGCTTCCCGTTCTGAAGTTTTGTTTTTGCGTCTTTTACTTTCGGTTTTGTACACCAGCTTCAAACAGCTGAATATACAATATTTTGGTTATGGAAAATATATTTCACAGCGGTTTAGATGGTACAATGATTCTCTACACAGTGACTGCTTGTTTTATCACAAGACTGAAATTAGGCTATTTATTAGAATTTTAGCAACCCTGAAATGGTGGAGCGATTTCTGCATAGTGCATCTGTAACCCTAATTGCTCCAGGGGTCCCTGGCCACAACTCCACTCTGAGGGGGTCTCAAGGGGAGTTGGGATATGCAAAAAACATGTCAATTTCACACCTCAAACTCATACAGGTTACCCACTTGTACATGCAGGGAAACAGGAAAAATATAAGCACCCCCTATTAAACCTTTTTACACACACACACACACACACACACACACACACACACACACACACACACACACACACACGCACGCTATATACAGTGCTCACTTATGCACTAATAGACACAGTAATGTTGATTACTAACATGGGTCTCTCCCCAGCCTACAATGACAAGATTGTGGCGTTTCTACGGCAACCCAACATCATTGAGATCCTGCAGGAGAGGCAACCAGAGCTTGTCAGGAACCACTCACTCAAGTAGGTCACCCCAATCACCATGGGAACCCTTTAATCAGATATTTAACCCTTAATCTTAACCCTCTAAACATATTATGATTATGCCAAACAGCAGTATCACGAATGTTAACGTGTGTGTGTGTGTGTGTGTGTGTGTGTGTGTGTGTTTGTCTGCAGGGAAAGGTTACAGTTCATTCGCAGCGAGGGCGTTTCTGGGCTTGCTCGTCTCTCTAGCGATGCTGATCTAGTAATTTTGCTCAGGTGGGACCTTTGTATTTGTCTTTATGTGTTAATGTCTGTTTGTGATTGGTGTATGTTTGTGTGTGCGAGAAGGTATTGAGTGTGTGTGTGTGAGAGAGATCATTTAAGCACTCCTCTCTCCCTTAGCCTGTTTGAAGAGGAGGTGATGTCCTATGTGCCACCTGCTGCCTTACTGCACCCCAGCTACTGCTCCTCCCCTCAAAGCTCCCCTGGTGAGACCACACACATGCATGCACGCACACGCACACACACACACATATATTTTCTCCTCTCATTTTCTCCTCATGCCCTTCTTCTTCCCTTAGTCTTGCTTCTAATCGAAACTATCCATCCAAAGCAGGGCAAGATAATGAGATAAAGCCTTGAGCCGTAAAAGTTGCTTAGCGCTCTCAATTAGTGAAGTTTAGTGTTTTTTCTAAACCAATTCTATGCTAATGTTGGTTGTAATAATAAGATACAATTACGATATTCTGAGGAACTTATCATGTATTTTTTGTCTATTTTTCATACTTCTCTCCCTCCTCCCTGCTCTTCCTCCTTCTTCCGCCCCTCTCTCAGGTACTCAGAGAGCTAATGCACGTGCCCCTGCCCCGTACAAACGTGACTTTGAGGCCAAACTGAGAAACTTCTATCGCAAGCTGGAGACGAAGGGCTATGGCCAGGGACCTGGGAAAGTCAAGTGAGTACTTGATGACGTCATTCAATAGGTTGAGAGAACCGCTAAATATCAGCAGTATTCTGACATGGAATCACTGGTCACTTTAATAATGAAACACTAGTCACTTTAATAACGTTTACATACTGCTTTACTCATTTCATATGTATATACTGTATTATATTCTACAGTATTTTAGTCAATGCCCCTCCGACATTGCTCGCCCTAATATTTATATATTTCTTAATTAATTATTTTACTTTTAGATTTGTGTGTATTGTTGTGAATTGTTAGGGACTACTGCACTGTTGGAGCTAGGAACGAAAGCATTTCGCTACACCCGCAATAACATCTGCTAAATATGTGTATGTGACCAATACAATTTGATTTGATTTGTTCAATCCTAAACTGGGTTTGTGTGTGTGTTGTGCCTGCATGCATTCATAACTATATCTGGGTGTTTTTCCTTCTTCCAGATTAATCGTTCGTAGAGATCACCTATTGGAGGATGCCTTCAATCAGATCATGTGCTACTCCCGCAAAGACCTGCAGAGGAGTAAGCTCTATGTCAGCTTTGTGGGCGAGGAAGGGTGAGTGTTGCCTTTTGGGGTTTAGCTCTTTCATATATGCTACACATTACCTTAAAAGTTTGCTAATTTGCATCGGCTGTTATGTTGTGTCTCTACATTGTTTATTTTCCATAATTTCAATACATGATTTACAAAATGTGTGTGTGTTATAGGCTGGACTACAGCGGCCCTTCAAGGGAGTTCTTCTTCTTGGTGTCAAGGGAGTTGTTTAACCCTTACTACGGCCTGTTTGAGTACTCGGCCAATGACACCTACACTGTGCAGATCAGCCCCATGTCTGCCTTCGTCGACAACCATCACGAGTGGTGAGTGACGAGTACATTACCATTATGGTTAGGCGGATGGATGGATGGATGGAAGGATGGACGGGCGGGCGGGCGTGTGGTCGGATTTATGAAGACAGACAGACATGCTGGACAGACATACTGTAGATAAAATAAGGAACAAAGACGCAGATAGACCTATAATAACATCTGACTTGTCATCATGTACTGTACATACTGTACTGTATTACACCTAGCAATGTTGCTCTGTGTTCCAGGTTTCGTTTCAGTGGGCGTATCCTGGGCCTTGCTCTGATCCACCAGTATCTGTTGGATGCCTTCTTTACCCGCCCGTTCTACAAGGGCCTGCTGCGGATGTAAGTGTCTCAATCAGGTCCTCTTAGCTAGCAAACGGCTAGGGCTCCTATCACCATGAACACCGCATTGTTATAGGTTTGACAATGCAACCACCCTGGCAAATTGCCAGTTATGCTTTAGCGTAAAATATATTATATGAAAAATACACACCTCAGAATTTTTTAGGTAGTAACTACTGAACTGGAAGAAGCTGAACAGACAGGAGTTGGTTAGATTGATTTGACTTTAGTTATTCAGTTACCATGCTTTCATTATGTGGTTGATATACACTCTGGAAAACAACAAGCTAAATTACTAAAATGTCAATATAAGGCTTAGAGTTATGAGTTAAATTTTTCGCCTCTCGTTGACCTTTGACCCCTACAGCCCGTGTGACCTGAGTGACCTGGAGTTCCTGGACGAGGAGTTCCACCAAAGTTTACAGTGGATGAAGGACAACGACATCGAGGACATGCTGGACCTCACCTTCACCGTCAACGAGGAGGTCTTCGGACAGGTGTGTGTGCATGCTTGTGTTTTGAATAATTAATGTATTGTATGTATCTTCAATCGTTTTAGACTACATACACTACCCTCCATTTGATATTTAACTGCTTGTTGCAATGTGTTGTACTTGGGGGTAAATCCTGACTTTACTTAGTCATTAATTGATGTCAATGGTAAGGTAGGATTCACCCTATATTGTGTTTCTATCTTTACGGCCCTATAGATCACAGAGAGAGAGCTGAAGCCAGGCGGGGCAGGTATTCCAGTGTCAGAGAAGAATAAGAAGGAGTACATAGAGCGCATGGTTAAGTGGCGCATCGAAAGGGGCGTGGCTCAGCAGACTGAGAGCCTGGTGCGAGGCTTCTATGAGGTAGGGCCCTGTGTTTTGCGCAATCATGTGACATAGCAAGATTTTATCCTGTATTTTAAGCCTTATCCAGAAATGAGAATTACAGCAAAAATTAAAGTAATTGTCTGAGGATGGTGCTGGAACATCTGACAAAAAAAGAAAAGGGGACAGTTTGATGAAAAAGCTTTAAATAAAGGTTAAAATCCAGGTCATGTGACATGGTTGCACAAAACACAGGACCCTATGACATCACACACATCATCGATAATGGTCCATCATTGTGATATGTATTGGTCAAGTGGCATTGTGTCTGCATAATGATGCAGAGCTACGTTGTGATACAGTATGTATTGGTCAGGTATTGTGTAATAGATAATGATGCAGCAAGTGGTAATTTATCTGAAATAGATATGATGAAATAGAAAGTCATGCATGCCATTAACAATTAATGTGGTTACTCCTAATGTATTAGAAGTGAATTAGTATTGTGATATGTACTGGCCAGGTGGTATTGTCTCTGTAATAGTAAATGTATCAGAATTGTGACATGTATTGGTCAGGTGGTGGACGTGCGGCTGGTGTCTGTGTTTGATGCCCGGGAGCTGGAGCTGGTGATCGCTGGCACTGCAGAGATCGACCTGGCAGACTGGAGGAACAACACAGAGTACAGAGGAGGTAGAGACAGGGGAGCAGTGGGGGGCAGTCTTAACCTTGGAGAGTCAGATGGTGTGGGGGCACGCTTTTTCAGCCAAGTAGTGATGCCCCTGATTATATTAATCTTGGTCTTTAAAGATTAGATCATGACTTTGATTGGTGGAATCAGGTGTTACTGCTTGGCTCCGCACAACTCAGGGGCAGCACTTTTGTTACAGATTGTGCTTTTAAGAAAAGCAGGCTTATTTTGGTCTACGGCTGATAGGTACACCTTTCATATTTCTCCCCAGGTTACCATGACAACCACATAGTAATCCGCTGGTTCTGGGCAGCAGTGGAGAGGTTCAACAATGAGCAGAGACTCAGACTGCTGCAGGTACTACTTTTCAGGGGACACTCCAATAGAGTTTGATACTGACGAAAGGTCTTAACTTAACTTCGCCAACTCTTTGTTTGTCAGCCCTGTTGCTACTGGTATTTATCTGGTATTGAATGTGATATTACTTGGTAACAATTGGAACATCCTGGTACAATTAATCCCCTAGTGACCGATAAATAATTTCTGGGCAATAATGACATAATTGCCCTGTTAACATGTAGTTTCTAAGCGAATATCTGGTCATTAGGGGCTGTAAAATAAAATGTTACCTAAACGGGGATTGTTAAGATTGTGTATGTCTCCTTAGTTTGTGACAGGCACCTCCAGTATTCCCTATGAGGGCTTTGCCTCCCTCAGAGGTAGCAATGGACCACGCAGGTTCTGTGTGGAGAAGTGGGGCAAAATCACCTCCTTACCCAGGTATAGTACACCTCTCTGTCTGTCCGTTCGTCCGTCTGTCCATGTTTGACTACCTGTCTGTGTGAGCTATTCTTATTTTTCTGTATGTTTGTGCATATGTGATGTGTGCACATATCAATTAGTGTGTATGCAGTGTGTGTATATTATGTGCATCTGTCAGTGTACTCCTCTCACTATCAGTCTGCCTCTCTACAGGGCTCACACATGCTTTAACCGTCTGGACCTCCCGCCGTACCCTTCGTTCTCCATGCTCTACGAGAAGATGCTGACGGCCGTGGAGGAAACCAGCACCTTTGGCCTGGAGTAACCTCTCCAAAATGGCTGCCACAGCCAGGGGTCGAATTGGGAAAGAACAATGGTGAAGAGGAAATCCCGCCACCTTAGCTTGCGGCGAGACAGTACTCACAGTACACAATGGAAACTGAATAGACTAGATCTATCAGAAATTATCATTTTGGAGAAGCAACAACTTTTGGGGACAATTTCACCACCAAGACAATCCCCCCCCCCCCCCCCCCCCCCCCCCCCGCTTGGCTATACCTCCCTTCTCCATGATCCCACACTTCCTGGAATAACGTTGCTGTTCCATTACCTGCACTGATGCCCTCCATTCGATTCCTGCGTACAACAACCACACTTGTGCTTTATCTCTTATCAGTTTATTGGCCTTGGTTACTGTATCTCCTTCTTTTTCTTACTGGGCCTCAGCCTGCACTTCAAGTCCAGAGACACCTCTTCCTAATACCCTATGCTTACTCCTGGATTGACCTCCTGCTCTGGACCTCGGAACTGTGTCTTTCTACTCTGGGACTGCAGACAGTGGACACTATAATACATAATGGACTAATTCCTTGCCTTCAAACACACACACATGCACGCAAACACACACTCATTCACTCACACACACTTTCAAGATAACCCTCATGATTAATTTCTGAGGGGATTAAATTGTATGTCACAGCTCCTAAGGGGCACCAAAGGCATTGTCTCACTCCAAAACACATTGTACTTCTTATGCTAGACTACACGAGCAAGGCTCTAAAACTGGCACACACTAACTCACGATAACAATTACAATTGTAGGGTTACTCTTTTTCAAAATAAATGAGATGCACTTTCTCATACACACGTAGCTACACACGCACGCACGCACACACACACTGAGACATTGCCTAACAAATGGCTCTATCTCTCACTAATGTTATTGCCTCCCATCCAGTGAACCGATGAATGTATCACATAAAAGACTGAATGTATGAACCTTCAGCACCTCTGGCTTGCCGTAGTAGGAGGACTGAGGAGCCTTTGTGGCCAAAGAAAAATAAACACAGCCGCCGCACCAGGAAGTGGAGCACTTAAAATTGGACAGAGGAATGTGGAAGCCGAGACTGAAAGTGGCACCAGACACGTTCCTTGTTATGAGAGACACTTTCACTCAGTGTTTTGCGGAGGGTTGGTTGGGGACCCGATAGTAGGTCGCGCCTATTTCTTCCTCTTGGGTCACAACCAAAAACTGAGTTGTAACGAGAGACTTTGTAATGTTTATTTGGTCGGTCAAAAGAACATTTAAATGGCTTTAGGTGTGTTACACACAACAAAAACAGAGCTACAACTCTTGTGTATTCCAAAACAGTTCCTGGATGCAAACACAAGAGGGCAGTACATGATATGGTACTTACTTCAGTACGTACACACAGCTATGGAAGCATCTTTAAGCTCGGGACACTACACACCTACACAGATGCTTATGATTTCTTGAAAGCACGTGTTCATCCTGGTTTTGGACTTCTCAGTGCATAACCCCTACCCAAAGGACTCATTCAAACACACACACACACACACACACACACACACACACACACACACACACACACGTGTACACAGACACACCATTTCTATGGGGTGTACGCACGATTACAACTACTGTACAGAGTTCTGTGCGAGCTAGACATACAACCCGGGCTGGAAGCCCCACTGTGATGCACTGTGGAGGAAGCCTTCATATCTCAGCCTGGCTTGAAACTGCATGCAGGGTCCATCTCAGCAACTCTGTGAGCTGCACTGAGTCCGGAACCCCTAGATGGTGTTGTGTTATATCTCGATATTTGCATGCCGAAATAGTGCAACAAAAGTCTGTCCTTATTAGCTTTTGCATGAGGATATCGCTATCGATGTTGAGAAAAGGGTGGGAGGAGCCGGTTAAGAACTTTAGGGTATGCTGCTATAATGCGTTATAAATATGTCCGTGGTCAAATAAATACTTAGGTTTTGTGACACATTGTTTATGGCTTCACAATTGTGAAATGTTATAACAAGCATTATGTTGTTTGTTTATATGACTGGTTATGACGAGTGTTACTGAAGTACTATGGCAGCACGCTTTAAGGGAATTGTTTTTGTTACATTCATGAGATCACCTGTCTTGATGATAGGTTAGAGGTCAATGGTCATGGTTCATGGCTACACAGAGAACCACACGGTGTGCTGGTCCTGTATGTCTCTTATCTTTGTGTACATGTATGTCTGTACCTGTTGTGTGTATAAATATATATTTTGCACCGAATGTACCAAAGGTTTGGGGCTTCGATAGTCAACCATGTCTCCCTAACTCTGTCAGGTTGACAGAATTAGGAATGACCCAAGCCTCGGCCACACATACCCACATCACCTTGAGTTTAGAGGGGCAGCTTCGTGACATAGGCAGTAACCCTTCACAACAGGGTTTTAATCATTTCTGCCAATCAATACATTTTCCACGCTAAGGATTTTTCTGCTGCGAATGTCCAAAAAAGAATAAAGTCAGTTTGCTCCTCGCCCAATGAGGACAAAGCTCAGCGCCACCACCACTCCCCATTCCTGATCAATTACCAATAGGATTGGACATCTCAGTGTCAGAACTCCACTCTATGCAAAAGCTCCTGTATCTCTCCATTTCACCCCAATTATTGTATTAAAAGACAATGACAAATGACAAGTTTTAATTTGCAAGTTTTAAATTAGAGATACATGAATGTGTGTTTTCTTTCTGTATATCTTTTGAGAGATGAACCAGGGGCTCAGCCAGTGGGCCCAACGCTTAGAGAGCAGCAGATGAAGAACTACAGCATAGATTGGGCATGGTTTTCTAATCTATAAAATTGAGAATATCTCTCCTTCTATCCTATATATTAATTTCTGCAGAAATAAACAAACACACACATCTTATTTTAACTGCATTCCACAAACAAAATCTATAGGAAAATATGAAAAATACCCGGGCCCAACTAAACAATTCAAAGTCAAAGTTTTTTTTGTTTGCTGATCGATGATTGTATTGATGGTTTTCAGCTTTTTGTGCAATACATGTCAGAATGACCCTGTCCTTGGGAGATAATTGTTCTGTGATCAGATAACACAAAAATGTTATTCTCTTTCAAGTATTCATTTCGGTATTTCACTTATGGGATACGCCCCCAGCGTATTCTTCAGCAGCCTTTACTAAACTACGCCAGCCATGATTGGCTGGACGTCTAGACGTGTGCGTTGGGGAAAGGTGTCCCTCCTACCCTATATAAGGTCCTACGCAGCGTCTCTGAGTCATTCAAACACCTCTTCTCGCTTTTCATCAGAAAGCTTAACTCAACACGACTGCATTTTCCAGAATTAGCTAAACTGTCCACAGACGTGAGTTTAGAACTCGATCGCCGGGCCCTATTGTCTGGACTGTGTGGTGGTGGCAATTTTCCTTTTCCTTCACCATAGTTAGAGGAAGATTATTTGAGGGAGGAACGGGTACAGCTGGGACATGGCTAACTCGTTCAGGACCAAGTTAGCTGTATCCAAACAGTGACTAGTCATTAGCAAGCTAGCCACCACGCTAGCTAGCTTTTGTGGTTTTACTTAGAAAATAAAAGTTTTTTACTAGCTACACTAAGCTACCTTTTCTAATCTGTCATTTCGGAAACGGTATCCGGCCATCCGAGTGCCACCGTCGGAGATCACCCACTAATCACTAGCTATCTCACTAGCCTACCACGCTAGTTTTTTTCTGACAGCTAAAAACATAGCATCCCAGCTATGGCAACAAAAGCATCTCCCACTCCAAACGAGGAGAAGCTCCTGGCACGAATCTTCTCTTGTGGAAACAAGATATCGGCCAAGGACACCCACTCGGTGTGCTCCGCTTGCCTTGGGCGTAAGCCTTCCCCGGCTCCTGTCCACACTGTGCCCTCTTCACTGTGAAGAGCCTCCGTCGCCTGAGTCAACAGGACCCTAACATGGTGGCTGGCGTCCCCGATGGCTCACCAGAGGCAATAGATATCCCCACAGTGAATCCTGGAGCGACAGCTAGCGCTAGCTGGGGCGACCAGCTCAACGGCATTGTCCCGCTGTTGGAAGACTCCAGCAACGACCTCGCGGCTTCCCTGCCGGGCTTCCTGATTGGAGACAACAACGACTCCATGGGGTTTTACGTCAGCCTCCTTTCGAAATCATCGGACGGAGACAAAGGCTCCTTCGACCCCTCAGGCCAGGCCACCAAGCCTCCTGCCAGGGAATCCAAAACCGGAAACTCTCGGTGTGGACCTGCAGGACGTGTGCAAATGCGCTGTGGATAAACTGGTGATTCCCTGGCCCAACGCAGTAGCAGAGACCACCATGTCCCGCTACGAGGGTACCCAAAGCCAAACGGGTGGCCAGGCAATTACTACCAGTCTTCCCAGAAGGCCTGGAGGATGTTACCCGTACCTGGGGTACACCTTTCTCCTCCAAGAACCCTGTCCAAGGCAGGTTGGTGTTGGACTGTGTTGACATGGAAGAGATTGGGCTTGCCCACATGCCCCCCATCGAACCCCTGATGGCTTCCCATCTACACCCCAGCCAGAAGTCCTCCATGACCTCAACTGGCCCCACCTTACCAACCAAGTACGAGCGCTTCCAGTCTTCCGTGACAGAGAAGGTCTACAGGTCGGTCGCCACAGCGGTGAGGGCTCACAGCACCGCCTCCATGCTCTCGGCATACCAAGATGAGATACAGGAGGAGATAGCGTTCACACCGGAGCCGGGTTTATGGAACGAGATCTGCATTGCCACAGACCTCATCCTGCGTCTGCTTAAAGCTGCCGTCCAGGCGTCAGGATGAGTGATATGATATCCCAGGAGAGGGCGCGATGGCTCAATCTATCCACGGTGTCTACAGTTAAGACACAGCCCAGTGCCTCCCCTGTGCCTTACCGCACCTTCTCCCAGGCTGCAGCAGGTCGGCCCCCCTCAACCTTTAAGATCCCCAGACTCCCAGCTCCCCAGGCTGCGAGCCCAGGGTAGCAGAGAACCTTGGACCTTAAAGGCCCCTGGGCTAAGAAGCCTCCCTTCCCACCCATGGCACAAAGGAGCCAGCCAGCCCCTAACCCCACCCAGGGGGTAAGGAGGAAGAAGTGGATGGCCTAGCGGTGTCCCCATTGCCAGACAGGCGAGTACGGCCTCCCCCAAGCGCAGATCTATCTCTTTTACCAATCCTGAGCTTGT